ATTTTTAACTATACTGATCTGAGTAGAGTGGTTAACGGCCAGGGTAGGGTAGGTTAATGGGAAAATCTATACCTTCCGTCAGGTTAACGGTTAGGTATAAAATATATATATACCTAACCAAGGTTAACCGCGGTTAACCTGATTTGCTGATCCTTTCCTATTTAGGAAGGCGGTAAATAATAACAATATATTTTCTGTCTGATTTCTGCCTAAGCTAGCCTAATATAGTTAGATTAATGCCTGATCCTGCCTGATTTCTGCCTGATCAGGTATAACGGTTAACCGCGGTTAACCGTTATACCTGACGGTTAATAGATTTTTATACCTTAACCTACCCGTCAGGTTACGGTTAAGGTTAGGTTAAGGTATAACGGTTAGGTATAACCACTCTAGATCTGAGAGCTGATTTAATTTATTTAATTTATAATAAGTTCTCTTCAGGATATGCTGGAAAATTCTATATCTATAAATTCTTAATTTAAGAATACTACTGGCCAAACTAGTACTGTTATATAAAATAATAAATAAGAAATTACTATATCTATTAAAGAATAATTCTTTTATAAAAAATTAAATAAAATATCCTGAAATCCTTACTAGTCCTAAAGTATATTTAATAAGATATATTTATAGATTTTATCATTTATTTACCAGAGAATAAGAGTTATGATATAATACTAGTAATTATTAATTATTTAATTAAGATAAAATATCTGATCTTTTATAGTACTATGATTAATACTGCTGCTGTAGTCTTTATATATATTTAGTATATATAGAAATTATATAGATTATCTTATTTTATTATCTCTGATAGAAGTCCTTAGTTTATTATTAATTTCTAAAGATATCTAATCTAGTATTTAGATATTATAAGTAAATTATTAATAGTTTATTATCTAGAAACCAACAGGCAGATAAAGTAGATAAATACTATATTTAAATAATATCTTTATATTTATATAAATTACCTGTAGAATAACTAGTCCAGCTAGTTATTTCTAGCTAAATTTATCTTAAATATTATTTATTTTAATATTATCAAGATTATTCTATTTTTTATTAATTACAGCTTCTATCTTTGTATAGGATTTAAATCTATATTTATACTAAACTAATCTATTATTAATAATATAAAATAATTTATTACTAGAATATAAATAATTATTAAATTTATATAAACGGAGATAACTGCAGTCTAAGCCAGGTATATAAAGTAAATAAATAAAAGATATTATTCTAGTCTAAGATTCCAGGAGGGCCAGGAGGTCTGGCTAGATATTTAATTTATTAAAATATTATAATTTAATAAGAAACTTGACTAGAATGCTCTAGGCCTGTATCTGATTAAAAAAATTATTAATTTATATATTTATTATAATACTTTTATCCAATATAAAGATCTATTTAATATTTTATATAAATTTATTTATTTTTATTAATAATAATTTATTATTAGACCAGCACCAGTCTCCTTCTTTTTATATTAAAGTTAATAGTCTTGAAGAATAGAAAGTTAAGAATATACTAAATTTTTTCTAGAATTACTATGGATAAGGCCGACCCTGGTTACTATATCTTATTAAATAAATAAAATATACTGATTTTATTATAGAGCCTGCTGAATATCTAGAAAATACTTATTAAATTATTAAGAACTTTTATTATTATTATTTAAATAAGCCTGGATCTTCTCCTTACAGGAGCTTAACTTAAGAAAAAGAAGAATATTATTATAGTATTAGCTATAAAATATAGCTTAGACTAACTATCTGGATATATAATCTGAAAAGATATAAAACTTATTAGTCTTCCAGATTCTGTTTATAGTTTCAAGTTATATCTTGTCTATTTCCCTGTATATAGTCTGACTGTAATTAGCCAGCCAGTCTCCTGCCTGTTTCTGTTTCCTGTTCAAGCTACCTTTCTACCACCCCGCCAGCCCGCACCCTGACATCTGGGGTCTTTTATAAAAGTCTAATATAGAATCTCTTTAATTATCTATATTAGTATTTACTAACTAATAATACAAACTGAAACTTTATATTAGTACATAATATAAATTACTTATAATACTGTATTTTAAAATATATTACTATTAGTAAAATATTATTATAAAAAGTCTATAAAAATTACTAATTAATCTGTAGCCGCCTGGATAAGATTTTTTATAATATCTTAAAGTATCAGAAGCTCTTATTTTTTAATAAGATTTTTAAGAAACTCAAGACCTATCTTAATATTAAAGATATATTAAGAATAATATTCTAAAGACTGAATATATTAAAATATATTAAGATTCTCTCAGAAACTACAGGATATACTGATATTTTTATTTATTAGAAATCCTGCTGTAATCAGTTTTTTATTTTCTATTATATAATTAAAGATTTCCTAACAGTTATAATAAATAGTATTAATATTAAATACTTATTTGATAATTCTCAGGATATCTGTTACTACTGCTGGAGCTTTTATTTCTAGATATTATTAAGATATTTATACTCCAGATATATACTGATTATTTTATTATAAGTAAGAAATATCAGGATATTCTTGATAATTTTATTTTTAATATTATATTTACAGTTAATAATAAAGAGAATAATAAGCTAACAGTAATATTATATATTAATAATTATAAGAATATAGATAATCTTAATAATAATCTAGAAAATAAATTATTAAAGAATTTACCTTTATCTCAGTTTATTAATATCATACATATCTAAATATAAATAGATACTTTAACTACATGATTTCTCTGTTATTTTAATTATTAACCTGGATAATATAAAAAATAAAATAGATAATAATCTTATTAATATTACTAGTATTCTAGTCTAAGAATATAACTACTGCTTATTATCTAGAATCTTCTATAAAAATCTAATATAAAATCTTCTTAACTATTTATATTAATATTTATTAATTAATAATATAAACTGAAACTTTATATTAGTAGATAACATAGATTATTTATAATACTGTATTTTAAAATATATTACTATTAGTAAAATACTATTATGAAGGATCTGTAAAAATTATTAATTAATTTATAGTTATTAACCTACTTGTTATACCTGATCTTTCTAATCTGAAGTTAAGGACAGTTAATAACTGCTGGGGTAATTTCTTAATCTTAACCTAATCTTAATCATACGGTTAAGGGGAACTTTATACCTTAACCTGACTGCCGGTTAACGGTCAGGTTACGGTTAAGGTATAACGGTCAGGTATAGCCACTCTACTCGGGATTGAAGGTCCAGCTAACAAGAAAAGTTAGGGAATTAAATAGTATTTATGCTATGGGTTACCTGGTTAAATATACTCAGAGTATAATATTTCCTTATACATACGATACCTGGCAAGCTATAATTTACCACCAAAGAGTAACAATAGCAGACAAAGGTGGAAGTATAAATAGTAAATATAGGATAGAATAATCAGACAACAAGTAACAAGTAAAATTTAGTATACTAATAGACTGACAGGAATATCTTCCATAGGAAAAAGCCCATCAAACACTGTTTCGAATTCTGGCAGTTTGCTGCCGCTACTGAGTCCAAACTCAAACCGGCTGAATCCTTCATAATCAGAATCCATGTGGTGCTCCTGCCTCTGCCCCATGCTCTCGTCCTTGTTCAGGTCTAGGCCACAGAGACCCGGGCTCTGGCCCGTCGATGTGGGGGACTGTGGTGTGCTGGACGTCGAGCATAAATCCGGCGTCATCACAGGCTCTGTGGACTCCATCGACATTCCTGGCGAAGAGTTGTTCTGAGGCGGGTTGGCCAGGCTCAATGTCTGCAATGCTCGGTCGGAATCAGAGCGAGCACAAGTTTGCTGGTACATCGGGTGGACCTGTCGATTTGCCGAGGACAGAGACATTATTGTCGTTGGAGGCACTGTAGCACCACTGCTCAATACTGTGTGAGTTTCAAGCATATGGAAAGGCATTGTGTGAGCGGGGATGACCGGTGCTGAGCTCATGCGGTCCCAAAACTGGCGGACTAACATGGTGTTCATCTCACCCATTGTGGCGGCTGGAACCTGCGCCGGCCACCTTAGTCCGCCCACGGCCTGGGTGAAGTGTGATGACAGTTGGCCCGACGGCGCGAGGACGACGCTGCGATACGATGGCGACTTGACATTCCCGCTGTATGTGGGTGGAGGGGCCCCATAGGTACTCTGGTGGGGGCCTAATGGATTGGTCACCAGTTCGGTGCGCATCCCCTCGGAGACGGAGTCACGCAGCCCAGACAGGTCCAGACTAATCTTGCGGATGCCGTTGAGAGAGACCGGGGGGTTGAGGCGGGAACGGCTAGCCCGACGCTGGTGCAGGGCACTCGGGCGGTCCTCCGCAAAAGTGGTTATGAGGTTGTGGTAGAACTCGATCTGCAGCTGCATCAATGAGCGTGCAGCATGCGGTTGACTTTCTCCTGGTAGCGGCCATCGACCTCTTCGTACATGGCCTCCTGTTCAACGATGTCCCGGCTGATTAGGAGAGCCTTGCCAGTCCGCTGCTTGTGCAGCCTGGAGGCCCGGTCGGCCGATTCCACGCGAGCATCTAAGCTGCGGTCCTTGCGGCGGGAGGCGGCTATGAAGGCACTGTCCTCGTCAGTGGGTTCGCAGGAGGAGAAGAGAAGTGTCTTGATAGCAGCCTACCGTTCCTGGTTCTCCTCCTTTGTCCGGGCATGAGGGCAAACGTCAACATCGATGGCGGGGGAGCCCATTGTGAGTGGATGGAGCGAACTGTGGCGGGTAAGCAGTGTGGTGTACGTATAGCCTGGCATGGGTAATCAGTGAGACGAGAAGATGGCTGCCGGATCACCAGTAATGGAGGGAAGGAGAATGTGTTACCACGCCCTTGTACACATAAGATGCGAGCACATAAAAGTAAAGGGTGTAAGACGGGGGCTAAAGCTAGATAAAACGGCAGTCAATGAGGGGCACTCAGAAGTGTAGGAAAGTTAGCACCGAGAGTGGTCTGAGCAGCGAAGTTAGCTGTCGGGTCACAGCAGTTCAGCCAGCCAAGGGCCGAGTCTAGACGAGGCGCAGTATCGCCTGGTAAAGGAAGAGAAACTCTTGGAATGGATGGTCGAGGATTGAGTAGTAACGAGGCCTTCTTTCTTCGGCAGAATATGTAATTCGACTTTTTGAGAGTGCTATCTGCCGCACGGCTTAAAACATAGGCAGTGATTATCAGCCCGGGTGATTCATAAGCAGTTCCCTGCAGTTCCTACCATTAGCCACTAGCAATCCAAGTATGTCTGGATCTCCTTACCAGGGCATAAGAAAACATGCATAAAATAACCAGTTAAGACTACCCGGAATTAGTGAAATTGCCACGAGAGGCAAAAGAAGGGACTCAGGGGATGGCAATAGCAGTAGATGCCGAGATAACAAAGAATAATTTCAAAGAACTAAGAATAATGGGAAGAATAAAGACATGATAGTTAATTGCTTTACTTAGTGGCTCTGTGCGCTGGAAAGGGCAAGTGAATAGACGGCCATGTGATGGACATGAATGGATATTCAGTACCGAGGCAAGGCAAGAAGTATGATATTCCTGGGTCTGAGGCGTTAGCTACCAACCTATCTACTACTAGCGGTGATTGGGTGGTGGTCCTGTGGATTGGGTTGGGGGTGATGGTTGGGATGGGGGGTGGGGTGGGGAGCAATTATTGGCCTGGTCATCTGGGGAGCATTTTATATTGAAACATAGGTGAGGTATCTAGATATTGATATTATTTACCTTGTTAGATTGAGTATGAAGGGGGCAAAGCTAGCTCATAGGCAAGCAAATCAGTAGTTCAAATACCTGGGCAGTATATTCCGTGGTATTTAGCAGTGAAGCCGACAATATCACGCTACAGACGAGTGGACTACTATCCAATAATCAAGCGAGATAGGCTCATCCAGACAAGCTGAGTAGAGAAATTCCCACATTAGGACATGTTGAGGACGATGAGATCCGCTTTGCCCGGCTGACTGTCATCCTGTTGCTAATCAGCCGAAGAGAGGTACATTACAGAAGTGACATAAAGATCTAGCAGGTGGAGGAGATCGGTGATCACAGTGGAGGAGGGTCAAGACAATCTCAGATCGATCGAAGTTAACGAGTAGCGCGTACGGCCGGATTGCGGATGAGAACCCGCGCAATTGTTACCCTCCCCCATACGGTAACGATCAATGCTGTCGACCAATGATGTCGTGGAATCCGCCTTGGCCAGTCTCTATACCAGTTTAGTCTACTCGGGTAGGCACTACCGGAGTTTAAGTCACTCGCATGTACTTCCCTCTGCTGGGTGGTCGAACTCACAATACATCAGGTTCGAATGCAGGTACCTGCGCGGTACTTCCAGCCACTCATCCTGACAAGATCGATCGTTGTCCACGATCACGGGGACATTTCTTCCCCGATTCCTTTTTCGCTTCGTGCACGTCTTCTCCCCTCTTCTCTCATCGTCTTGACTTCTTGTCTCCTTGTTTTTATTTACTTCCATTTGATTTATTACTTCCCCCTCTGATTACGGCCACCTTCAGAGGATTGTTCAAGTCCGCTGCTTGTCCTCCCTTGGTAGACGCCATCTGAGTTTCGCTCTTCCACGGAATCCATTCCCTTCCCATGTCCTAGAGCTGGCTCTGCAAGCACCCTGCGCCTGTTGCTGGTCCCATGGGTCAACACCCTCCTACTTTCTGGTCGGCCCTTGTTTGGGCGACCCGGACTTGTCCCGGCGCTGGATGTCTCGTCGAACGCATCACCCCGTGGCACCGGGAGAAAGTGGATGCTGGTGTACAGCTCTGGCCTGTCTGGTTGCTGAGACAGGGCCTGCCCGCCATGTCGGAGACCGCGATCGTGTCAATCACGACAATGATGCGCATCCGCAACGATAGTCAAATAGCATGTAGCCCACCAGGACCCATCAATCTGGAAAGAAAATGTAAGGATCTACGGTGTCTCTCATCCATATATCCGTAAGCTTGCTTGAAGGTATCCCCTATGTGGAAATAGATAGGCCGTCCGGCCGCGCGCGGAACATGAGTTACGTTAGCAACAGTATGGTAACCTCAAGAACTTTCATATACGTGTCCACTTCTGTACACCGACCAAAGGCTTTAGTCAATCAGCTGTCATGACTGAGCAGCTCTTATCTAAACGCGTTTATCGGTGGATTCAAAAAATAAGCCACTGTATCGGAAGATCAACCAGTCATGGGCAGGCCACTATACAGTATTACTCTCTATTACTGTCACGCCTAAAATACAGTACCGCTTTACATATGACGCCTAAGAGAGCACTTGGACCGGATGACGCTTCCGCCCGGCATGACGACAGTAGATGCGATCAACAAGCCGTCGTATGCCCGCTAATATGTTGCTTGTACCTAACATGTCGAGGGGGAAAAAAGCGAACGAAAACTTAAATCAGGGGTTTAATTTTTTACCACTTATGCTAATTAGATGATAGCACTCAGGCTGCATATAAGTGGGTAAATAAGTCAGCAGGCACAGCCTCCAGGTGCCCACAGCACATATCAATCCCAAGGTCATTTAGTATTGTTGGTAAACGGATTTCTTATCGGTAGATAAATATCCGGAGGAAGGCAGGGCAACTTTCCTCACCAATGTATCCAGACTGTCCAACTATGAACGATACCCCAGAAATATACCCACTTGCTAGGGACAAGGCCGAGTCCAGTCGGTTAGTTCGGAATATGCTCGATCGTTATGGCAAAGTACTTAAAAAACCCCCAAGGCTCAATGCACAACACAAATTTCTTATCGACGTTGTCGACTGCCTCATCGATAGCGCAATACCACTTGACAATATCTCCACCGTTGCCGATGTTGGAACTGGAACTGGGTGCGTCTACTTCCATGGCTGTATGAAAGCTCTACCCTGATTTATGGACATAAGAATATGGCTTGTCGAAGCCCGGGATTTCTTGAACACCAAACGCTTCTCCCCAGACCGCTACTTCCACGGTTTTGATATATCCTCTGCCCAGTTTCCTTTATCCCTTCCCGCAGGGATTGGGTTCTCAGTGCAGGATATCTTGAATCCGTTCCCAGTCGAGCATCATAATCGTTATGACTTAGTATATGTTAGGATGCTTGTTACAGCAATTAGAAATACTGAGTATCGGGATGCCGTGAAGAATCTGTTGACAATTTTAAGTATGTACTGGCTCTCTTTCCCTTTACGTTTTCAAAATACAGTATCAATGGTAACTATATTCCCAGAACCCGGCGGCTTCCTCCAATGGGTTGAACTCGACTGCTCTGCCCTCCCAAATTCTAAGAATTCCCAGAATCCTAGGTCGGCTGTTATAATATCCTCATGGCTGAAATTCTTTCAACTTAATGGACTCAGTGAATACGCTCCATCCATAATAGAGGACGCATATGAGCGTTCAGGAATGATGGATATCATTAACACATCTTTCTCCCTGGATAGACGTGGCGAAGACCTAAAAGCCAAGGCACAGAAATGGCAGATGCAGGCCTTTCCGGCGGCCACAGTGCCGATTTATGCTAAGAATTGAGCTGGCACGTGATTCCGAGGAGGCGAAACAGAGAGCTGAAGAGGCGATTAGGAATCTGGACACTTATTTTGCTGAAGGTGGTGTTATTGGGCTTCGTTTTGGCAGTGTAGTTGGTCGGAAAAAGGTCTGATGCGCCCTGGTAAAGGATATTTAGGATATCTTACACTAAACCGTTTGGCTCACGTGCTCTAAGGGTGGCTCTCATGGTCTAATTCTGACCTCAATAAGATATATCAGAAGTTAATAACTTTCATGCGATGCCTGGATGATTCTTTAGAGACTATCCCTGTAGCTGTTCAATGAGAATCGCAGTTTGTACTCTAGTTAAGGGATGTTCAATCGGGATGTGCTTGTGATAGAACGGATAGATCCAAAGTGACCAAGGTCATCGGGATGACGTATTTCAGTGGGCATCATAGTCATGAGGTCATCGATAGCGATCCTACCCCTTTCCGTCGCGTATAAGAGAGTGATCCCCTACGATGTACACTACTGACCCCTCAAATATCAGTCTATTCTGTGGATATAGGCTACCTTTTGTCAATGATAAACGAATCTACAGTGCTTCGTGGTTGATTCCTCACCTAGTTGACAGGCTTTCTACCCTGACAAGTAGATCCTATCACGCTACCATACTGTATTTTGGAAGATTAGTTCTACTATGCCGAATATCAAGAAATTCAGTCTATAGAAATTAATAATATTAGAAATTAATAATGTTTTAAATACTGCTGTATATCTGGTGCACCACCCCCAGTATATTAAGAAACTGAAATATATATATAATAAAAATAATAACAACAATAATAATTATTAATCTAGGTATTCAGAGCCTGAAAAGCCACTCAAGCCCCAGCTATATTTATATGGGCATAAGTTCCGACTGCCCGAGAGTGTACCTCTTAACTGCACGCGAAGATAGATGGCGCTAACATGGACTTTAACAACTTAAGTTGGAACAGCACTGAACTTGCAGTTCAATTTCAGAGGTCATGTCAGTAAGCCCTGGGCTACAAAAGAGAAGGACATAGAGGAAGACTAGGGAGCCAGGCTGTCCCTGGACCTCCGTCCTATCGGAATGGAGACTATCCATGTCTGGTACACGCGTCCCTGTTCTACTATATTTTTAGCATGCGCTACTGCCTCAACGGATTTCTTTCTATAAGCCCAGACGGATAGTGACTAAGGTATTACATACCAGTCTGAAAAAAAGTAGCGAAATGAAGTAACTGTAACTTACAACCAACTGTCTTGGTTAGTAAAGTTGTTATCTCGGAAGCTTCCGGCACGATTAGAAAAGACTTCGGCCGAGACACTCAGATCTCATATTGACCTTTGACCTTTGCGGCTATGCCTTAAATCGGAGTGCAAACGAACTAACACTCCATCAGTCTCCTGAGGCGGCAGCGACCGCAATAACCAGAAAAGTTGACTTACGTTGATTTACGAGAAATTCCGCCTGAATAGAAGTGGATGTTCATACAGGTCGGGTTAGTCAGATCCAACAAAGCATCCCAAAGTAGCGACGGGAGATTCTAGCAGCTTATAGCAAAAATTTTGGTAAAAGCTACCTATGGTGCAACTTTTTCGAGATCACCGCACTTTCAGAGTAGTACTACAGAATGATCATGCCAGGTTTGTCCAGACAATCAGATTGAGACCACGAGAAGACAGATAACAGATTGGCATATGTGTCTTTGTGGTGGCTTCTCGGCTCGAGGAATCCGACTTTGGCGGTTTGTCTTCGGTCAATTTAATTTTAGTCCGGGGACTTTGATGATATTGGATGCGTGTGGACTCAGCCTGCAATGGGATAGCACTCGGATCTGCAGTCCGTCTTTCCCGGGTTATTAGAATGGTCACGTACCGCAAGTCGAGTTGGCCGGTATTGAAGTACACAAACCCCCACATTACTTACCAGCTTACAATTGTGGCGCAGACACAGCCTCCAAACACTGCGGAGTATGTGCGGGTGCATGCGCGCAGCAATACACTTGTGACAAAGTTCGCTGCTAATTGATGAGATAGAGGGGTCTCCGGGTATGTGGAACAACCCGTACTTCTGAAGCACCCGAACACGCGTGCTCCCGACCACCATGCCCCTGTTACTGATTTATATATAATACTTTAAATTTATTAAAAATCAAGTAATTATCAACATATTATATAAATTTGTATGTAGAATAATGCTATTCAGAAATAATATAAAAAATTAAGCTCATTTAAAAAATTATATAAGGAATTTTAAGCAGGATGCTACATTTAAATATAAATTATTTTTATTTAAATGATGTTATTTCTTGTGATAGAATAATCTAGCTGTCGGAGCCTTGGGTATCGGGATGACGTGTTATAGTAGCCCTGGGAGTCGTGAGGTCATCGATGGTGGTTCTGCATCTTATCAACACCTATAAGGTGCCGATCCCTCTGCAGGGGACTACTGATCCCTCAAGGATCAGTCTATCTCGTGGATATAGGCTACCTTTGTCATTATTAGACGAATCCATTGCGTTTGGTGGTTAATTCCTTACCTAGTCGACAGGCCTTCTACCCTGACAAGTAGATCCTATCACATTTCTATAGTACTATTAACTACTTATTTGATTATTATATTAAGAATTTAAAAAAATTAGATTTATATAATCAGAAATACTGTACACAGATATAAAAATAAATATAAAAAATATTATTTAGAATCTTTTTTTTATATTGTTTTTGTTACAGACCCCTGCTAGTTAGGCTACTAGCGAGGCGGACTCGTCAGGCAGAAAGCACTGATAAAGGCAGCGCTCGGACAATCAGCAACTCTTATCAAGTAGAATCTCGGTTTGAGCAAACGACACCTAGAACAGCCTCATGTCACGTGATCATCTACTATCAGGTCTACCATCAAAGATATATTCAAGATATACTGGAATCCCAGACTACGACTGGATCAACCACCGGTCTACCCTGGATGGTATACAATATAGTATACGGAGGATAAGATATATAAGAACACTCATTTCTGTACTTAGATAGTTCTGTTCTTCGTGCTCAATTAACTTGTCTTTAAATAACTATATCTTTGGAAGCTTAGCAATACAACACTCGTCTGCACTTACTTACGGATAGCTGCGCGGCACTATCTGGCCTTACTTCTCTTCTCTTGTCCAAGACCAGTTGTCCTTAGATAGTCATCGGCCTGATACGCCATCGACCCAGTTCGACGGTACGTATTTGTAATAGATTGGTGGTAGCGACCACCTACTCCCGTGTATACATGTCTATATAAGCAGGATTCTAGGGGTCCGCAGGTAGCTGCGGGTAATGATGGTCTTTTTGGCCTTGTGTGTACAACTCCCCTAGGTTGTTCTATGACAGTATTCCAGTGAAGCTAAGCTAATAGGGACAGGGAAGCGATCCTAGGGTTTGACAATAATTTATTTTTCTAGTGGTAATGTACATAATAAGATTAAGAAAAATATAAAAAGAAATAGAATTAAAATTATTATATTTAGAGATATAAGGAATCTCGCATATAAGAATTACTAATAGTAATAATAAAAAAAGATTATGATAGATAATTTTTTATTAATTATTTTTAACTGCTGCAGGATCTCGTAATAATTAGTATTAATAGTAATATCTAGATATTAAATAAAGTTAAATATAGTTTAATTGAATATTAAGAGACAAGATTGGTGGTGGTAGTAATAATAATAATATTATATTATATTGTAGTTAGAGTTGCGCGCGCGTATTCAGGTGCTTCAGAAGTGCGGGTTGTTCCATATACCTGGAGACCCCTCTATTAGTACCAGTAGTATCCACTCTCTTCCTTTCGACCAATAACATGCTTTTTGGTCTACATTAAGAATCTCGAGGAAAACGCAGATCGGATGCTCTGTAGCAATACCTAGAATCTAAATCTCTCGCATCACATTGAATTCTGCAGTACAGTAAAAATTTCTCAGACCAATTTCGTGTAAGCTTTGTGTGGCACGAGAAGACCATATTCTGGGAAAGACGAAAGTCTACGGAGACTTCGAGGTCCCAGGAATTAGAAGGGGAAATGAGGCATGCACTATTCTACGATGCAAGGCTGCGTCGCACGGATGCCGCAGTCATTGTGCATAACGCCACCTACGGCCCGTGCGCGTGCGAGCCTAATTTCTCAAAGAGTACTACTTATGGCTTTTGGTTTCCGGTGGTTGCCTGTAGCCCACTCTCTTCTTAGATCACTTGCTGATAAAAGTGGTAGCTGGCTTGAAGTAGGGTATTGGATCATACTCGTACCAATGTCGAATAATCCAAGTGAAAGTGGCACAAACAACACTCAATCAAGCGAAGAGGTATGCAACACAATGCCCACGAACATACACGTGCTGATCAAATTATAGGTCACACAATTCAATGCAAGCAACCTACACCATATGGGAGTAGCAGAAGTCGTTCATGTTCGTCAAGGCCAAACCGAAGTCCGCAGCAATCGCTTCCAGGACGACACCGTACTCGCCTTCCAAACCAATTCAAATGTAGGACATTCGGTCCAATCTGGCGATGCAGAGTAAGTCTTCATGTCATGTTACAGCAATTTAGCATAGGAGAGGGACAACAACATCTGACCTAGGACACCAGAAGCTATTGTACATTGTTCAACGATATCCCTGATAATCAACTAGGGCACGCCTGCCATTGTCACAAGGACACTGAAATCGATAATACCTCATTTTTATTCAATGGAGATATAGTGGATGGTAGTGAGCCTTCTTTAGTAAGGAAACATCACCTCCAAGGTGGCTCTGTTAGGAACCATAGCAAATTCGTTAATGGGGATCTGGATCGGGAAACCTTTCTGGCTTTTTTCTGCCAGCAATGACAGTATAGGCAGGTGATAAGCCCGTCCCGAGCAGGCGATTTCATCGTGCTTTCTAGTATCTTATTGAAGGTTGTGTTTTATTTTCTATAACAGCTATTGCTTTATGTGCTATATGTACCAACATATATAGCCATGATTGTTAGCCACAGAGCCCTTCCATCATGTCCTTGAATATCCCATAAGAGACAATGAGATCTCTCATCATATTGTAATGGAAAGTAGCATCTCCCAGTATCATTCTATTACAGAGCAGGCGCTCATAGAGTGTCGCTCTCGTAAATAGGCTGGAGGAAAAATAGTTGGAAGCAAAATAACATCACATGTACCAAACAAGGGCAAATTCAAAAAAGACGAGGAAAAGCCTTCCGAATGTATCTAGAAGGATAGCATGATCGAATAACCATAAATTAAATAAACTAGAAACCATAGAACAACAAAACCGGGGTAAATTAACTATAAAGAAGCATGTTACCGAGCACATACGTCAAGTTTATAGAGTCCGATGGGCAGCCAAGATGCTATTATTGTGGACACACACCAAGATGGCACTTTTCCATATAAAGTTGTACCATCGGAATTCGTATTGTCATCGGCCGAAAGCAAGGACGGAGAGTCCCTTGCTAACTGGCGGAGTAGTATCGTATGTAAAGGCAACCGTTGTACTTAAATGCACCTGCCCTTTTCAATGGGAGACAGTTTATCAGGGGCCTCGCTGAGGTGGCTTGAGCCTGGGCTTGGCGTCCTGATCGTTCCCACTACCGCAATATTTTTACTGCTGACGCTGTCAATTCCCCTCCCCTACTTCAACAACTCTCCCCTTTTTTTTTCTAAACTGACAGGAAGTGCCCAGTGCAGGTCATCTTGATAATTACCCATGAAAGGCTGCCTCCGCTACCAGCAATACATATACTTACGAGTGTATCAAACAAATTTGACAATTCAGCTTTTTTTTGAGATACGCTATATTTAACCTTTTATCATGACACCACTAAGTTTCTGGTTTTGTATGTTACCAATTACTTCATATATTAATACATAACTTCAAGAACTGAAAATTATATATTACTGATTTCGTTACAGGGTAGGCTATCCGACCGTGATGGCCGCGCAATAGTGGGTTTCGCTATGGCGCACACTAAGCATGGCGGGATAGTCAGCCCATCAAAAGCGTAGCAACTGAACCTAAACCCAGCCGAAGGCTGGCCAGCAGTGGTCGCCGGCAAGCTCCACCTGAACCCAAGAAAATGAAATAGTTCCCACCCCTCGAAGCAACCGAACTATGTACGATTCAGCGCCGCGCCTACCTCGGCCGAAGACAATGATGATACCTAGTTTACGAGAACCATGCACAATGGGGATGGAAACACATGTATGGAACCAGCTCTGCTTATATCACCGAGAAAGTACAAGTTGCAGCACGTATTAGCACAGCAATTTCAAATATATGGTCTGATTGCCGACCCATAATTGGCTAAGATGGTCAGGCTATGAATAATTCGGTGGACGGATCGGGAAAAACACTAAAAAGGTCAAATCTGGTCCACCGAGTCCCCACAGAAGCTTTAATCCGGGAATGAACAAAACAGGGAATCGAAAAAGTTAGTGTGGAAGCGATGTCCAAGAGCTAAGTCTAGATCGAATATCTCATGACCCAGAAAGAGATATGCACTTGGACAAATCCGTCTCACTGGAGATCTAGATGGACTTATGGGATGCAGCCGAGTGGATGGCGGACCCATCCTGGGACGGAAGTTCATCGGGCTTCAGAACCTACCAGGTACTCCGTAGGACAAGACGTGATGCCACGGCCGCCAAGAGTTTTGCCACCAGGCTTGATCATTCAATGGATGAGTCAAATGTGGATTTTGCATGGGACTTCATGACCAGCGCCATTGCTATCAAAGAAGAAGCCTAGGCGCGTCGACTGCAATAGAGAATATCCGAATGGGGCGGACATCCCTGAGCCCCAGATCATCATGAAATGCAATATCCAAAACCGTGCATTTGCATTTCCCGGATCAGGTACATTGTATCGGAATTACCTGCACAAGCTCCCTCAGGGATAGGGGTTAAGACACAGTTGTGAGTAGAGCGAGGCTCAGCAATTTAATCAAGAAAAGACACATTTTCATTTATTCACTAGCAGATATGATGGACTTCAGGGGATTGATTCAGCCGATGATTACCACCCCCAAAAATGATTACGACCTTGAAAACATTAGTATTGCAGTGTATGCTACTGAAATGTGGTATACATCCATGCGCAGTATCATTATTTCCGGTTTACATCAACTACAATGGTCGTGTTAGCAGTTCCTCCGTTGACCCCAAGGCGTACCGGTATAGCTCTATAGAACTAGCAGCGAGCGACATCGTTGCTCAAATTTATAGACAGAAAGTCAGCGCAGTCTAAATAACTTGCACAGGGATTTTTGGATCCTGGTATAACCGCCGTCAACTTAGTTCAGCGCGATCAGTAATACCAACATGTCCAGTGCGGAGAAGGCTCGCGCTGGATGTGGCTGGGAACTAAAAAGCTGCTCTGTCTCGCTAACAGCCTGGTGGATCTTGCTGCGGACACACGCAGGATGGACGCGATACCGGCATGAAGCAGCACGGCAGCGCACTGTGCTCTTCGGTAAAATGCGCTCGGAGATATGAAGCCTCGCACACCGCGGGTAGGTAACTAGTTAGTTATCAGCTGTCCCAGCTCGTTTGCTGACTCATTCTTGGCCCACTGTGGCCGTCAAGGCAGCAAGCCAATAGCGAAGCGGTGGCTACCGTGCTGTACGTTCGATCTTACAGCAAGTGGGGCCGGTCGGGCCGATTGCATAGTCGTCTCAAGCCCTGGGAGATTTGATCTGACGATGGAGAGCTCGTATCCAAATGAGCGCCAAGTGGGAGAAGATGCTTTGGGCAAGCATTAGGCAGGGTTTAAAAAGTATCCGGTGTAGGAGCTACATCAGGAGTCCGTATTTGCAGGTAGCTGTACAAAAGTACCCGTTCTCTCCCAGCTACTCAGCGTTCTAGGCCAACTCTATCAGAAATGATAGTCGCCAATCACGCCCAATGTTATTGCTAGCTTGACTACAGTGAATATCTAAGAGCATAAAAATACTATCATGCCGCTTATCATTATGCATATTCTGCGCCATATTATGTACGCTAGGCGTACCGGGACAAGCACAGGAGGTTAAATCGTATCGAAGTATCCAGCACAGCAGGATGAGTGCTTTGCTGAACCTAAAGATCTTGGAAATTTTAGAACCACGCTAGAGGGTGCATGAACAACTATACCACTTGGCCACCAAGGCCTTTATGAAGCATTGAATATTTCGAGACGCAAGGCAATATCCTGGCTCACAGAACACGTTAGCGCATGTGCTACACATATACGCCTCCAATCCCGACCGTGTAGGTGGAACAAGCACGTCGTATTGCAGGCCCATTGTCTTAACCTATAACCTAAATCTTATAACTTGCAACCACTTAGTCGAGGTAAAGACAATAACTGTCAACCACAGCAGCATGTATTAGTGGAAGAAAATTAACAGACCGCATTCAACTACGCACGCATCGTACATGAAGTAACAAATCACCCGGGCCTAAGGCGATTTAGAGAATCGCAAATTCAATACTGATAGCGTACATGATCTTTCTGATTCCCGACCCCTTTTGCGGCTTCTATACAGTGAAATCTAAGTCTATAATATGTAACACAAGGGGCGCGATGTTGAAGATCAATTAATAGAAAGGAAACGGCAGCGGAGGAGGTACCTGGCTAGAATGGGAGTCATAAAAGGCTGCTGGCCTGAAGCAGTCGTTGTCAAATGAATTTGACGGCTCATTATTCCATATCCAGGAAGATCCCCAGTCCACCCCTTGAGGCTGGTTTAGAAGCTGGGCTGACGCGTTGTAGTCACTTTGAGTGTCGGTGAAGATGGACGAATAGTATCTCGCCGTCGAAAGACTAAAGCAGGGTTGCGGAAGCTCCGGTGGTAAGTAGCCCTGGCGGCTAGGATCATGCAACAGTTGTTGCTGCACTAGTTTCATGTAGTGTTCTTGAGCATGCTGTATGTCGACCGGTAATGTATCTATTGTGTGTTGCGCTAATATCGGGCCTGGATATTGTACGGGCACTGACGTTACGTGCAGGCTTTGGTCGGTATCAACATCATGAACTGGTGACGTCGTCTGAGTATTTGAGGGCTGTTGGGCCAAGAGATAATTTTCAATTGAGACCGGAACAGCCATTTGACCACAGAATGGGCGATCCGAGAGCAAGCTGTCTGAAAGGAATGTATTCACGGGTTTTGGGGGGTGTGACCGTTGCTGATGTTTGGTTAAAGTCTCCTTGCGGCAGAATCTTGACGATGTTAGAAATCCAGCAGTACCATAACCAGGTAAAGGCTTACGTTTTCTTGCATGTTGGCTCCGGACAGATAAATGGCCTATCGCTTGTATGAATCCTGCGATGACGGGCAAGACTTGATGACTGTGGTGGTTAGCACTCAAGATACTACCGGTGACAGAGAATGGTGCATACGTCAGAAAAGGCTTTGTGGCACCCACCGTGTTCACACACATAAGGCTTCTCCCCCGTATGTGTCCGCAAATGTACCTTCCATGAACTTTTCTGGGTAAAACGTTTATTGCAGTCGTTGAAGGTGCAGAGATACGGCCGTTCGTTGGTGTGTATCCGGCGATGCCTGAGCAGGTCCGCTTTGCGGCTGAAACCCTATTACTGTGAGCGTGGAGGGAACTCACTTTGACATACTGAATATTTATTGAAATAGAAAGTGACACGGAAAGGCATATGAGAGTATCTGTACCTTGATACATTGCTTCCAAGTGCAGTAAAAAGCACGTCCACCATTGAATTCCATGGTTGAGAGGATGAGACGCGAAGTCACGGGCACGATATTGGGGAGTTGCCCGATTAGTAAGTAGTGGCACAGGACAAAAAAAGATGCAATATTCCAGGAGGCTGTTGCGGCAGATGCCAATGAGATAAGAAATCACAGGAACAAACGTAATGAGGGAACTAAACTCAATTATATACTTACTTTGGGAGCGACCACAGAAGTAAACATAGAGAAGATGTAGGTGACAGAGCGAGAAGTGGCTCCGAACACGGCAACCAGCTTCGGGAAAGCGAAATGGAATAAAAGAAAGGGACAGGAAACAAAGTCGTATCGGCGAACAGGAACGTCCCCGGAGTAATGTCCTGATGCATGTAGCCTCAACAGTAAATCCCGAAGGTATGTATACTCTGGCTGGTTGTGCAACCAACAGTAGGCTCATTGACAGACTAAAGGGAGAGGCGCAGTAAAGGGTGGCTGAGAGCCCCATCAGTGATCGCGAAATCTATGTATGGTGTGCGCGTTCCTTATGCATCTGCTCGATGTAGTGTACGCTAGTGGGTTGATCTTCTCTACTTTTTGGGCCAAATTAATCAGCAATCTGTACGATGAATCAACTCGGTGATTACATGCAGTCTCCTAGAAAATGGTCTTGCCAAGTGACAGCAGTTTTGGGCAGATCTGCCCGGATGTGGTGTGCTCTATTAATTCCAGTACTCCTGCAATTGAAAGCTAAATATTGTCTAGTTCTTGTAAACAGCCATAACATACCACCTGTCTATTTGTAGAGAGTTACGTCACTGCCCTGTATGCTGATAAGGCCTTATAGACAAAGAGTTATACCATGGTCACATCTCCTTGAATGTATCTCTCACTTTCAGCCATCCCTGCTACCTGCTTATATTGCACGCCTACCGGCTACATAATTATGCTGTCCCTCCTAGCAATGCCACAAAGAATCCGATAGCTGGGTGTCATTCTATTTACACTCAAGCTTCAGCCCCGCGCAACTTCTCCTTTTGTGATATCGCCAATATAACCAAGTCAGAACACCAAGCCTAATCAGCCCTGCAGCGCCAGTGGCAACACTTATACCTGCCTTCGCTCCGGTGCTTAGTCCAGCATTCGTTTCGATGAAAAGAGAGCGGTATCGCGGACGTTTCGCCGTCGCTTGCATTAGGTTTCGTGCTGCAGGCTGACTGTATTATAGTGAGGACTATTTAGCGCATGAGGATTAGCAAGGTCTTCGCATATCAATAAATTCCGACAGTGGTGGTGTGAACTCACCATTCCCCAGAACCTTCGAGCCAATCCCTAAAGACAGCTAGCGTAGCCTCCCGCACAGGAAAGAGGCACCATGATTGTGTCTGCAGTACTGGTACTGAGGGATCATGATGTTGTTAATGAATCAATATTTACTCCATGTGTTCTTGTGAGTTTCATAGTTGTCCCTACAATTGCTGGATGCCGCACCGGTGGAATGGGCGTATAGCCATCGTAGTGTATTTCAATATTTCATATTGACTCTTCTTTTGTATTTTCACGTCAGCACGGAGAAAGTAGGTGAAGAATAGCCTACACAAAAGCCGATAGATGTCATTGTCTGGGGCAATTCTTATAAACAGTACTCGTGCTCTCACAATTCGGTACACGCTCTGAATTTCTGGCCCCACGATTGTTGTCGTGATATTCTCAGTCGCTGCAGACCACTTCTTCGGTGCTGGTTCGTTCGCCATCGCATGTACCTAGCATGGCCATGAGGAGGTTGCCGAGATGGCAGAGACAAGAGGGCTAGACAGCAGCAAGTAATAAGAGGAAAGAAAGCTATTTTGGAACCGAATTGGGACGAAAAAAAGGTTGTGATCTGGGAGAGCGAATTAGAAGTTGGCACCTGTCAGGCCCGCAAGAGAAAATGGACGCGACCGTGGAACTTTGGTCTATAAGGGTTGCTAACCTGGCTGCGTCCTTAGCGGCTCTCAATGATTCGTTTAGCAGCTGTGCCCCTGTGGTACAAGGCTGGTTGTAGAATATAATTGGGTACATGTTTGTACGTCGTGTACTTGTTTGTTAGTCAAAGCCACTGGTGACACCCCTATTGCGTATTCCGTGTATAAAGAACAAGAGGTTATTGGCGAACAAGTATTCTCATAAATCTGGGGCCTCGTATTTAACCCGGGGGAAAGTTAGATGCTGGAATATCGCACATGAACGCCGAAATTAATTAAGAGGCATATTTTTAAGGGGCCGACTGCATAAATCTACTCTCAAGGTCTGCTAGGATGTTCAATAGGCATATTTCTCGATGTGGCTCAAGGTATTACAGTAGAGGTATCACAGTAGCCGTTAGTCACTGAGGCGAGGAATTTGTCATCTCCCTCGAGCACAATAGTAGACAAGCCTGCGCTGCAAACCTCCTTCCGTTGGGGACCCCGACTCTCCGACGTGACGTGCGTCAAACAGCATCAAGAGCAACAGACTTAAAAGGAAAAAAATAAAAAAAATGAAAAAGAAAAGAAAAAAGAGAGATTATAATATTACTCCAGTCTATTTGGAATTAAACCATGACAGCATAATATATCAATCCTTATGCTCCGGTTCCTATGCCCGGCATTATTATCTTGTCTAGAAACAGACATAAAGCCTTAGTACTGCGGACGTCTCAGGTCTATTCCACAACTGGTAATCAAGTGCGAGTCCCGGTAGTTTGCTGATACGGAAGCATAGATTGCATCTTCCGGGTAATAATACTATGTGGGCTTGAATAAAATTATTTCTCCTTGTTCTATGTATTTTGTGTAAAGGAGAATTCCCTTGAGCCGGTATTGGTCGCATTTTTGACAGGTCCCATACTCCTGGGTTGTCATGCCCGATGAGACAAAGGAGATGTTGGTTAGCCAGAACAGATACATATAAATTGAACGAAGGAAATAAGTCCGAAATAGGAAATTCATCGCTGTAACCATCATAGGTACATATATTTACCACGGACTGCACGGTCCAACCATCCAATCCTCCATCGCTAACCACTCACTCCAGCGATCTTCCGCCTCTTGCAGCTCATCCTCCGCCGGTTCTCGCAGCGGCCGCAGAAATGGCGTTTGCTCGTCCGGTAGACTATCATACGCCGCCTTTGTTGACGCCCACCCGCCACTCTTCGCCGTAAATAAGTAATTCACCCGCTCCTGCTTGATAATGCTCCCGACACCCCCCGCCCAATCCTCCCCAAAGAACGCGTCCAGTACAGCAGGACTATCCTGTGCTGTTACAATCAGGCGCCGGATGTAAGCACGTAATGATGGATGGGTTGCTGGGGCCCCAGACTGCTGACAAGGGAGCCGAATGTTGAGAAACGCGGCCAGTGATTGCACTGCTGGGGTATACTGCGCATGCGAAACGAAAAAGTGCGTGCATGCCAAGTACCTCGGGTGCCAGGTGCCAAGGCAATCTGGAGATGAAGGTGTCATGGGAACAGGTAAGACCGAAGGTTCAGGTCTACCGGGACTGGGTTCTGTGTCCATATTCAGACAAATAGGTTCTGCGGAAGGGTGTTGGCACGGCTTCACGAATGGATTAAGGGGAAATTGATAAGGGATGAGCAAAATTACTTTGAGGTCGATATGCTAGTGATTCGGCGGAGAAAGGATTGTGAAATTCGACGCAGGGAGGAGGCGAAGTCAGTCTCGAGTCCGTTCCGGAGGGAGATAGGTTCATATATACATTCGTTTTCACGGCCATTGAGAAAGGACATACGATAGCTGGATTTGTACGGGATTGGGACAGTGAAGATGAGGTCTGGCGAGATTGAAAAATTGGTGAATTTGTGGACCTGAACTATGAGGGTGGGCCCTTCTTATACTCCTCCATTTCTCCCATGTTGGAGCGACGGTCAGATAGATAAAAATCAGGATTATCATACGGAAATGCGAGTCCCAAGAACAGTAGGAGCAATCCCGCGAGGCTTTGCATGGCAGGTGGAGCAGGCGCGCCGCGCCCATGCAAGGATCTGAGGCTATCACAGATGCTGCTATTGACGGCGATGGGTTAAGCCACAGCATTCCAGCCACAAGAAAGAGAGCCATAATGCTACTATGATAGGACTAGTGGCATAGCTCATGTTGTGGCGCTGGGTGGGCCTGGTGGCTGTGCAGCACTAGTCCGGCCTAAGGCTGCGAGGCCGTAAGAACTCCAAGTCTGAGTGAGATACACCGTCTTGCCGGGTTGGGTTACCGCCCAGGCACCGTGACCCAATCACATATCTCAGGCACCGCAGGGGCAGGTCGAACACTAGAGTCAATCCTTGTAGTCTGCTAGATGCTAGACTCCTCAAGTCTCAGTGCTTCAGTACTAACATACCAGGTCGTTACTAGTAGCCACCCATCACGTCCTGCGGCTTGTCATGATGTATGGCCATCGTTCCTCTTCACTAGATAAATTTGCAATCCCGGGGAACCTGGAAAAATCTAGCGAAACTGAACAAAGGATTTGAAATGGCCAAGGAGTAACGGGTCTGCTTCCCTTCGCTTATCCTCCTTTCCTTCGGCCCGTCCCCAATGGTTTAATCTATGGTTGATTGCGTTTAATAGAGCGACTGGCACTAACGAGAGACTTGAAATGGGTACAAGAATGGAGTGCCCCCCTTTTAACAGGGCACCTCCGCTACATTGATCAGGCCATGCCTGGGGGTCGACTTTTACGGCCTACTTCCCTGGAGCCGAGCCTACCTCCCTTCACGGCGAGGGACCAGTTATTCATCATCGGGTGTATGATTTGGGGGTTAGTTTTGTTAGTATGGTGGAGAGGTGCAGCGGGTTGAATCCTTTCATATCTGCCGTTTATATGATTATCAATACTTTGTAACGTAAGCGGCAAGCGAGTCGGCCACGTAAGCGAGTCGGCCACGTAAGCGAGTCGGCCACCTCCGCTAGTAGTATATCAACATTCTGATTTACATACAAAAATGAAGCTTTTTGAGCACATATTTCAACGTTTAAAAGGGCCATATCTCAAGATACTGCTCGATTAGGACATCTAGTACGTATATGTCCTACAATATGACAAGCGCTACACCTAGGAGGCGCCCGATGACGTGGTTGATCCTGACTAGGGCCTGTATCGCCAGCTTGTTCTTCTAACACTTTAGCGTGGTTGAAAGCCTCGAGCGCTTCTTGTACGGTGAAGCTATTCAAAACATTCTTTTGTTGTTGATTGCGTTTCTGCTTGGTGGTTCGTCTTTCAAGGGCTTCACGTAGTTAAAGTAGAACTGTATGATTCAAAGCAACCTCCGCGCCTTTGAAGATGTGCTATAAGGCTGATTGTATTGGTGTAGTTGACGTATCTTGCTGTTGAAGTAATTGAGGTAGTTTAGACTTGTACTTCTCGAATTGCTTTGAATGCATTGGCGTTTTTGTAAAAATTGAAGAAGAAGATGTGCTTTGACTGCTCGGACGGCTAGTTTCATTGAACATCATATTTTGGAGTATCTTGCTTGAATCTAGAGGAACAAGACCTGAATCTTTAAAAGCGCTTTGTACATTTGCTTTAGTAAACGCTTGAGCATGGGCCTTCGGGTATATATCAAGAAAATCAACCTTCTCGATATGATGATATCCCGTACGGATAAGCTGTTGAACGTAATGTTTGTAGGCTATCCTTTAATGGTTGAAAACATGCAACATCTAAAGACTAACATAAATGTAAGAGTTAGGAGGCATGCAAACAGGTATAATCTGATTTTGATGATATATATTATCAAGTTGAGGTGTTAGACGAGAATCATGCCCATTAAGTATGAGAAGGCTATATTGACCAGTTCTTTGTATTTTAATACAAGAAATGAAATAATCTTTAAGCAAGGCTTCACTGATCTCTCGAGTTATCTATCCATTCAATGATATAACAATTCTCTAGGAAGATGGAAGACTGCCTTCCCACTAAGCTTGTATATAAGTTTTTGCTTTTAAGATTGGATATACTGGTGATACCCATCCAGCAGCGTTGATAAATTTAATTAAAGTTATCCATTCGCCGTTCCTTGGCTGTTCAAGAAAGGGTCTTCCTTGACATGATAATTGTATAACTATCTTAACAGTATCCATAATGCCCATAATAAAGCCAATTTCATCAAAATTATAGATGTTTTCATCAACAATGCCCTATGTTGATATAGCAGTTTATACGCGTCTAAACTACATCTGAGTAGCTTCAGGTTCTTCACATTTCACTCTTTTGTAATTGATTTGACGGCTATATCAACTCTTAATGGAATCATGCCGCGAAATGAACAAACATTGTCTCTTGACCGACCTGCAGAGACAACTAGTCCATATACATTTACATTTGATACCAAATACGGGACAACTGCCTTCCTTATTTGTCTCCTTTAAACAGGCGGACATAAACCAGTAACTGGAAATAGTTACAAATATGCCTTAAGAGTCACTCCTATAAGCCATTCAGTGTCTGTAGCATTCACTGGCTATGCAGCACCTTGCCACGGAAACCATAAGATTACGATAGCTATACTGCATACGGCCCTACATAGAGACCAGGAGATACGGGATAATGATTCTTGGTAGACAGCCGTTATAGCTTTACAGATGCTCTGAATGAAAAGTTCATTTAGTATTCCATCTTATCTTAAAGTATTTGATTGGGCTCGGCTGAAGGGACTATTCTAAGTATGCTACAGCTTGCCTGCTTTGAAAGTCCTCCGGCTATTGTAATAATAAGAGCCACGGTTTTTGAATCCCGGCTTTTTCCTTATTTCGGCTAGATCTGTAATTGTGGGGCTTTTTGCCACGTCATCAATGGATATAACAAGACTTGATCTAACGTAATCAGACAACGAAGCGGCGCGACAACGAGCCGGCGCGGCAATCCTCAATCCTCATAAACAAGCCACCATTCTGCCTACCATATTGCAACGATCGCTTTAAATTAAAGTAATTAAATACTATATAAATAACTTATATTCAAGCAAACTAGACATTAATTTTATCTGGATATTTAAGGTAATTATAGCCTTTCTTATTACAATTACTGTAGTATAGTAACTAATATTAAGCATATTTTATTATCTATATAATTTTAATATTCTTTTTCTAAGTAATATGACATGCAGTAAAGCTATTTAATATATTTTCTTTTTATAAAAAGTATTTTAAGATCTTCTTCTTATTCTTTTTATATTAATTTACTGCATAGAATTAATCTAATTTCTATTAAAATAATACAGTATTCTGTATTATTATTTCTGTATCTTTATAAATCTTTTCAAGTATTTAATCAGTAATAAGTAATAATAATCCAGTTTCCTGTAGTATTCTAATCTCTGCTTTTTAATAATTCAGTTAATAAAGAATTAAAAATATTTTATTAAGATATATAAATTAATTAGATAATAATATTAAAGATAGTAGAGATATTTAATTCAAATCTTTAAGATATTAAAGAATTCTCTAAAAATTATATAGAAAAAGTCCTGTTACAGTAAAATCTTGCTTTATATTAATTATATTAAATATTTTTAAATATATCTTTCTAAAATAATATAGAAAGTCTTTTTTCTATATATAATAAATATCTTAATTAGCTGTATCTTTGATTCAACAGCTATATAAAATTTTTAGCAGTGTAAAACAAGTAATATTAAATAATTAAAATTTATAGAAAGAATAAGACAGTATATGTAAAAGAATAATTAATTTTTTTTATAATATTAATTAAATTTAACAGTTAAATAGCTTCTATAGCTATTAAGAATAAGAAGATAATACTAGTCTATTATTTTAAAAGTTATATATATATTAAAGTATTAAAGCCAGTTAAATATAAATTTATTATTTATCTATTTATTATTACTAATACTGATCTGTTAGTTATTAGGAATAGCTTTAAACTACTTTTCTTATTATATTTTATCTGTATAGATAATTTATAAAGATTATATATTCTCTATAATATTAATTATAATAATTAAAGTAATTTATTCACAATTTCCAGGTTATATAAATCTTATATTTATTTAATATAATTCAGTACTATAAACAACCTTTATAATTAAAGTTATTCTTATTTAAAAACTTGTTTTATTTATATTATAAGTATCATATTCAAGAATCCCATATTTTTATATAATATTTTATATTAATTTGAATTATTAATTTATGACCTTAACATCTTTATATTTTATATATTAATAATTAAAATATTAAATATATTTAGATTTTAATTCAGTCTGGTAATATTAAACAAATTAATTAATCCAGCATTTACTGATAAAAGTATTTTTTAATTTTAATTTTAATACTAAAAGAAACTCTGCAAGATATTATACTTTAATAATAATAAATAAATAATCTTATAAATCTAATTCAAGGATCCTATGCTTTAATACTAATTTATTATTATTAGATAGCTTTTTTAAATTTATCTCTACTTCAGTGCGAGATTTGACATCATTCAAATAATCTTTTAGAGTACTTATCTTAATATCAAATACTGCAGTATATATCTTTTTAACAGTAAATTAACTATAATTAAAGGTTTTACAGGCAAGCGCTAGTCTCTTATCTTAAGAAAGTCTCTTTATATATTTGAATAGCTTCAATATTAACTGAATTAAGCAAGGTTAAATATCGTGTGTTGTGTTGTGTGGAGGTTCAAAGCGGTAAGGGTTGCCGCGCCGGCTCGTTGTCGCGCCGCTTTGTTGTCCGGTTACGTTATAACAGGTTGCGTACTACAGGATCTCGAGTTGATTTTCCGGTTTAGGATTCGTTCTCTCGGCTACTGGAATATATTTGAGTGCTGTATATCTTATAATGTATAACAGCCTTGCAGTGTATTCCGTATAGAAAGCAATTCCTCTGGATACCTGTAGATTGCTTAATGAATAGGTCCATATTTTCCCAAGAGGTAGTGGTATTAGAACATGGCAGTGACTTCTAGCTGAAGGAACACCATCACTACAAAATCATTGGATATCGTATAACACGTATAACACGTAGCTGGATAAATAGGCCCTTGGGGGCACTAATAGACTACAAGACCACATGTTAAGTGCCTCATATGGCACTGCGACCGCCTTTTGCTTGCTTGGCGGGGACAATCGCTTCCTCACAAGGTTAGGCCGCATGGCCTTTATGTCGAATTCATTAGGAGAAGCGCCAAATAGTGAGGTCTAGTCAATCACCGCCCGCAATGATGTCCTTGTTCTGTTCCTCCGTCCTGCACGCACCGTTTGACACCCGTTTTCCGAGAATCTCCTCCCTTACATACAAGTACAGCGTTTAACATCGACAAGAATTCAAGGCTTATATCGACCAGAAATTGCCCGTTTTATTACGCACGAGCGGTGTTGCGGATATGCTAGATGCGAGCGACTCCATTGCTTTGATAGCATTGGTTGTCTCTCTCGTCGCTTTGATAGCGACTTCCCTGCAGCTTCTCCAGCAATACTTCTCTACTGCACAGGGGTACAACCGATGTTCCAGGCGCTTCATTGGTGAGTGGTGTCGTTTTCGGCACCGGCGCTATCTTTGGCGTGAGTTCCGCTTCGAAGTGACCTTTGTTCGCCCATACATTTATTTGGGGTCTGTCCACGATACCGCACCAGAACGCGCAGTGCCGAGCACAACTTTAAGGAGTCCATTGCACTTGATCACCTCTGTTCGAAGCGATGAACTCTGGCGAGCGAATTATATGGGCAAATCCTTCTTGGTCGCCCAATTAGGTAACGACCTTGTGGATTCTCAAACACATGCATCTTGGACACTGTTCCTGAAGCATGTTCGTATATACAGTCAACATGCTACGAAACGACTTGTGTCTCCTTCAGACAAGTCAATGCTGAAACCAACTTTCAGTAGGCTCGGAGTCGATGCAAGGGATTTAGAACATGGGGCCGAAACTGTAAGCCAGCCACCGTATCCAAAAGAGAATCCAGGCTACGGGATTTGTATCAGGTTCGAGCCTTGCACGTGGGATGATCTCCCTGGAAATGCAGGAAAACTTACAGGTGTTATCCTCCTCCGAGACCTGGCTGTCTTGAGTCGCCTCCTAGGGCTCAACTGGTCGGATGGTCCATTTCTTCAGACCAATCGGCCTCAGTCTGCAGCTATCAGCAGTGACAACCTACATAATTACCACACAGGGCTTCACGCCGCCGGGAATAGGTTAATGATGGCGGAGAAATCTGCTCCTTTGCTCCACTACCAGCAGTGGGAGGCTATGTCCCCGCACCTTCAACGGCCGCGAAAAGACACATTTATCATTCATCAAGCCACACTGGCCATGTTCTACGGCCATATCATTCCAGATCCTCTTCTTCTACCAGAAGTCACAAGCCCTCTCGCTATTGACGGAGAATGCGCTTGGGACACATTGTCGCAACGGATGTGGTTACAGAACCAAAGTGACACAAGGGTGCGGTCGAGTCTGGTCAACTGTTTGCCGGGGCTCTGCTCCTTGAGATTAAGCAAACAGGATCTCTTTGCTGTGCGAGTTCCCAAGCCGCACCATTACATCCTAGGCCCATTTGTGAGACCAAAGATTGCTAGGATATTCAGGCGTGGATTAGAGACATTATTGAATCAGGACCAGTCGTGTATCCTCACCGGTATTGCCGAAGCGATCGATGAATTAGAACAGTTCTCCGTCCGTGAATCTGCATCAGGATCTAGAGATGTGAATTGCTGGACAGCGTGTCAGGGAGAAGACCCGATGTGGGCTCAGCTCGAAGAGACAGAAGCAGACATTTTCTTTCGGAGAGTCCACCATTGGTTTGACCGTGTTCAGAGCGAATTAGCACAGCTTGTTCAACGCAGTGACGAATCTTTAGGAGTGTACACAGCCTTCTACTGGGATCTACTATGTTCTTGGCTCGAATTTGTTGTCGGTTTCAAGAACGGAGATGACTTGAATGCATCAACTGCCCATGGCCCATTCGCGCAGTGGCGAAATATTTTCAAGGCACTCTTTGAACACTTTGATATAATTGAAGAAGGCGTCCGGAGAAGGGGGAAACGTCGCGCTGTGATGGTGGCCAATGGCGTCGTGTCACAGGACTTTGGGAGTCACTTTGATGTTGTCAACCCCTGCAAAGACGTCATAGGCTATAAAAACATAATATCCTCCGAGATCCGCGACGCATGTCTTGCGATGGTCTTTCGAGCCATGTGCTGGTATGTCGTGCACCAATAGTCTTTACCGAGCAACTGATCTAACCATTTCCCAGGCACCGCTGTCATTATATGAACTCAAATGATGAACCTTTCCGGCCGGAATTTTACGACAATGTACAACAAGTCGATATTGAATAGAATGGAACATGCTGGTGGAAGCATAATACTGGCTTTACACCGAAGACCGGTAGACTGATAGCGAGAGACAGTCATGAGGGTGGACTTGATTGAGGATGACCACAAGTAGGATAAATCAAATATCAATACTATTTGCTATTTGAGGCATGATAGCCATTAGAGCAAGACGTTGGTCAGTATTGTGCAAATGTAACGTCACGATGAAAAGACTGCCGAAAGTCAAGTCAGGCCGCGAGTCCACTAGAGGTCTGCGAACAAACTCAGCACACGGCAAGCTAGCTGATAGGACAAACGAAAGTTATGTAAGTAGCCAGGGAGCCGTGCTAGACCATGCCCCTGGTGTACGGAATACGATAGTATGCGGTATGCGTACCCAAATAGTATGATGAAAATGCACTTGCGGAAATCATCGTAAACACCAGACATTTCGATGCAATCATAGTTGTACCAGCGCATGTTTGAAAACATTCTGCGGATCATCACGTTGTTTGATATCCCTCAGAGCCTCAAGCTTATGCCCATAGATCGCTCTCATATCTACCTTTTCTCGTCTGGTCAAAGGCAGATATGTCGAAGCCATAATGTTCGCAGGGTCTGTCTTGTGCAAAGCGTCATACAATATCTGCCCCCACTCAATTGCATCGTTTAACAGATCCGGTGTTTGAACAATCGGTGCTATCTCGAGCACAAAATGCGGAGACCGAGTACAGAAGACCGAGTCCCTCAATGTATGTGGTGTACATGCACGCAGTTCATGTATACCGAAAAGTACGGCCGGGTTGTTAGGTTGCATCGACGCATGCAGAGCAATAACATCGACGATCTCTGGTGTTAACTCGTGGACATTAGCTGTTAAGACGGTCCCATATACACTTTTAGGCATAAGGTTCTCAGCTGCCAAGCTGAAGGCTGCCATTGTGGTAGGGGAAACTGTGCACACTGCCACGGGCGACCAGGCGTTAACTTTGGATAGCCACGACATCCCAGCTTCAAGATCCGAAGATACCCACGCAAACAGCACGGTCATTGCTTTTCCTGCCGGGCCATTCATGACACACTGATAAAGGCTCAGGGCGGAGGGAAGGCCATCCCGTTTAAGCCGGGAATAGGCACTGTTATAGCGCTTGATCGTTGCACCCAGGTCGCTGGACTCGTATATGAGGACACCCGCGAGAACCTTGATATTGATGTCGTGGGCCTTGGCAAGGCCTTGTGGGGAGGGATGGTTTAATATTTTACCCACCTGGCTTAAAGGATAGACATTGATTGTAACCTCGACAATAACGCCAAGCAATCCTCCAGCTCCTCGGATGGCTGTCAACATATCCTTATCTGCATCTTGAATAACGCCTTGACAGTCTACCACTTTGGCTTCCAGAATCTGATCGGCACCTAACCCATACTGAGCACTGAGGAGGCCATATCCGCCGTGGGTCGCCCAGCCCACATACCCCACACTCGGTATCAGGCCATGCGGCGTAACCAAATTATGTTTCTCCAGTTCCTTGATCAGTTCCGCAATTAGTATACCGCCACCCAGACGTGCTGTATGAGACTCTTGGTCTACAGTAATATATGAAATCTCGCGCAGATCAATGGTTATTCCATCATGGGTCTGTGATCGACCGAACATCTCGTGCCCGCCAACACGAACTGTAAAAGCGAGGTTGTTTGCTGCCAGAACAGAGACCAAGCCAGCAACATCCTCTGCAGAGCGAGGTCGGACAATAACGGCAGGGGTGCAAGCTTCGTCGACAATAGAACCAAGGCGCCAGCTGACAAACTCGGGGCAAGTGGGGGTGGCATACTTGAAGCATGGATGTTCGGCGAGAAATTGGAAGAGTCGGTCCATTTTGTCGTGGGGCTCATATATTACTGAGAGTAGGGACGTCAGAATGGTCAAATGCGAGCGGGACAGTCACGTAAGAGCAGCTGAAGGGCGAATTACCACCATCGCAGTAGGTAGTAATATACTGTGCACTGGTCCTGTATGAGTAGCCTCAGCATTGACCGCTCGGCTGAGTAGGTATGGCTTGGCGCTTACGCGGATGAGCGGTTCGTGCCCCACTAGTAAGCCAGAGCCCAGTAAAGCCTCAATACGACAAGGGGGCAGTGCCAAATTAGAGTTTCGTATCTCTGTCGGATCGTGCTTCGGCTTTACCATGACCACAATGCCAAGGCTGGGTAGCCAAATCTCAATCGTCATACACTAAATCCAATCTTCCCAAGTGCTCACGTCAGCTATGAATGAGCCAAGCAACATATCTCCTAAAAGCTTCAAGCTGCGTTCAGGACTACGTTTGTGTTGATGAGAACTTATATCATGCTCAGTCCTCGCAACAAGACGCTGGGCTGGGTCTCTACATCGCTCGTCGATCTTGACCATGTCTCGAACACCTACCCTGTTATTTGTCCACGGTGCGTGGCATAGCAGCGACTGTTGGTCAAACGTGATCCTTGCGCTTCAAACTCGTGGCTTTCACTGTCTCGCTCCTCAGCTCCAATTCTGTGGCACATCTAAGCCGGTCGAATCTCTTGCCAGCAGTATAAACCAAATCCGAAGGCTTATCTTCAGGGAGACGAAAAAGGGAAGCAATATTGTGCTGATCAATCACTCTTTTGGAGGCTCTGTGGGCTGTTCAGCTGTGAAAGGATTCACCCCCAAGGACCCGTCCGAGCTGGAGCACAACGCGGGAAGAGTTATTGGCATTATCCAGCTCTGCGCTTTCATGCCACCATCGAATGTCTCCTTGTATGATATGATAGATCCGAGGAAGGCTTTTCATCATCCTGATCCAGATGGTTGGGAAGTAGTCTACAGCGCCGACCCAAGCGATATTTTTTATAATGATCTTCCCAAAGAGATGGCTGATCATTGGAAAAGTCGCCTCTTGAAACAGTCTGCTGCTTCCTTCATTGATCATGTGAATGTTTATGCTGGATGGATGGATGTGCCGATATCGTACATTTTTACTACCCAGGACCGGGCAATCCCTATTGAAAACCAGAAAGCAATGGTTGATGCTGCAAAGAAAGCTGGTGCCTTAATCACATCAGAGTCTCTGGAGGCTGGTCATAGTCCCTTTCTAAGTAGGGTTGAAGAGACGGTAGACCTTATCGTTGATGCCGTCACGGAATTCTGAGAAGACACTACAGTCAAGCCTTCTGTATACCTCCATTTCATCTCGTTCGTCTTTAAATTGCATGGATGGAATGAAGCCTTCAAATATATAGAAAATTGAAAAGAGAGCTCCCCACATTCTTTGGGAGTACTGACGCAAATTCCCGGTATATTCGAAATGGTTTACATAGTCCCTGGAGGTTTATAGATTGTACTCTCACCTTGGGCCAGAAAACAATCATCCAGATTAGTTCGTTCATGGATGTCTCCAGACCCTCTTCCTATTAGATAAGTTTCATCAACTGCGTTATCTTACCTTGGTCGCCTCGCTTCTTCAGATTACTTTTCCCTTGGTAAATGCGCACTAGATTTCATAACATGAACCCTCAAAGGATGATGGTACAAACCGCTATGACATAATGGGGAATGGGAAATGGGGACTTGTCCGTATCCAGTCCCCTAGTTTTGGTCACTGCAAGCTCCACGCGATAAGTACAGTCCCTGTATTTCTTGAACTGATTTGTCGCTATAGACCATCGAATTAGTAGCAATGGTGGTCTTCCGCCGTATAGGAAAGTTGAAGTGCAAATATACTGATTGAAACAGGGAGCTTCTCACTATGGAGTGTGTAGAGATGGTTGGGAAAGTTTGAAGTTAGCACAAGACATAGTTGATCCAACAAGATTCTGATATTCCCATATAGGCGCTACTCACGACCTCGCCTGTCCATGCTATGTAATATTACTGCCATCCAGCTAGGCCATTTGGGGGTAGGAAAGCCGTTGTCTACGCGCGCTTATCAGTGCAGTTTCTCTGGGCTCAGTAGACATGTAATACGAAAACCGGAAGTTTAGCTGTTATCTGTTACGGCACGTTCAACCGTCCCAGGACCTTTCCCCAACATTCTAAACTCTTCAAATTGCTTATTGTGTTTTGTGCGTCTTAAAGATTCAGAGGAGCTTTATTGCACTGACCTTCTAGTATCAGATCTTCTGCTGGATTATTTGATTGCTCCAGCCCGTGAATAATTTCCGCCGCGCTAAAACACCCAATCTGATGCCATGACCGACTGGGTTAGTAATTTAATGTGCAAAAAACCTGAAAATAAGGTTTGCCTACAGGTGGCTCTGTGCATATGAGGGAAGTTTTTAACGTCATCGGATATACGATGATGTTCTATGTGCTCAGTATCCATTCCTATGATCAGTGGCCCTTAACCTAGTGTAGCATGATTAGTTGGTGATTCAGCAATGGTAATCCACTGCAAGGTGGTGTGCCTAAATAAATAGGGAGCGGTATCAACAACTCCCAGTACGCCAGTCCTGCTGAAACAGTATGTCCAGTGTGGAAATGTCATCCTTAAGAGGCCGGTATTCTTTTCATGGCCACGGAGTCTCCAACTCCAGTAGTCGAGAAGCGTTACCGAAGCACTGCGATAATTATACACCCATAGCGCAAGGCACACATGCAACAAAGTCATTAGCGGAAGAGTTGGAAGGGACTCCGACTGAGAGAACGTTTGTGGGCCTATGAAATGTGCATTTAGGTGTTCATTGATACTTTGACCACAAGGCATCGAGCAAGGTGTATCATCCTAATCTATATGGGCGTGAGTCTTGCCAGGTCATTCAATCTTTTGGGTGCTGGGTCTCCCTGATATACTTGTCGACCAGTGGGTTCTTCCCAAAAAATGGTATCACTATCTCCCTGTGATGCAGGTAACCCTGCGTTGTTGTTTCTGAAGGCAATTCCGTCTCAAAGTCTAACGCATAGGACAAAAACTCCAAATATAAGTCTCCACCCTTGGCAATGAACGTAGTAGCTGCTGAAGAAAACCCACTATCCCAGCCATCCAGTAACCAATGCCCTGAGCCACGGAATAACGGAACGCACCAATAAGTTGTTATTAACAGTGCAAGCGGGTTCCTTTTGTCTACCAGGGCGATGAAGTCTATACCAGAGGGGTAATGACATTGCAGTGCAATGCTATTAGGGTGCGGGAACCCCAAATACTTTAATCCACTCTGATTGGTCAGATTTCTGGC